ACAGAGGAAAGTTTCCCAAACTGTGCTCTAGGGAGCTCTTGTCCACAAGGTGCGCTCTCAGAAGAGTAGCGGCAGGTCCAACAATGTAGCATGTGCTCCCCACTTTGACGGACCTCGCATGTTAACCCGTGTCGGCTCCAATGAAGCTGACACAAACGAAATGACAACATGTATCTGACTCCTGCTACGTTCAGCCTTCCTCCGATGGGCTTTAACCAAACAACTCTTCTCAGCCAACAGTCATCCACAGTCCATGGGACTGTATTTCAGGAAATTAACTTCGGGAAATACTGACCATAGAATGTTGATGCTGAAAGGAACTTTAAAATCCATCTAATCTTGATGTTCCCCAAAACATTCATACTAGAGATTCGGATTTATTGATCCCAGGATTCCAGGCATTTTAAGTCTACTAACTCATCAAAGCCCCACAGCAGTTCCACGAGTGAGCCCACCACTATTCCCATTTCACAGGTGTGGAAACTGAGGCATGTGGCCAAAGTTGAAAGCTGTTTGGCCCCAAAGGCTGTGCTCTCATCTACGCCACTAAGCTGCAGAGATCCCCCGCAGAAAACAGAAATAACTATTTTCAGCATTTCAAAAAGAAAACAATAACTTAATTCAGACTCATAAAATCAGTTATCCCCTGCTAAGCAGAAGTTTTGATTGGCAGATGTGTCCTTAATTCATTTTGATGGGAAAATAATTAATTATTGCTGTCACATTTATTCAGTGCCCGTTCTGCTCTGATCAACAACACATTGTACTGTGTTGTTGATAAATAAAATCTTTCGAAATCTGCACTCTAAGTCAGTGAACAGAAAAAATAATAAAAGGGACCCATAGCAAGGAAAATAGGTGGAAACCTTTTATCTTGCCCTATCCTCCCATGTCACAGATGAGGAAAATTGAGGCCCAGAGAAGGAAAAGGACTTGCCCAAGACACAAAGCTAGCTGTGGTCAGGGTCAAGTCAGATCCCCAGGTCTCCTGCCTCCTGACCCCAGGCTCTTTCCTCCACCCAAGGCTGTGGCCAGCGTTCTGGCTCTGTGGCCAGCTGGACCAGGGGTACAAGGCCAGGCACTCAGGCTGGCAGGCATATGAGGTCAGTGGGGAGCAGGCAGCTGTGCCCAGTTCAACCACGGTCATTACCAAGGCTCAGACTGGTCATCTGTGCTTTGACCAGAAGGAACTAGGCCACAGGGAAAGAAAGTCCACTAAAAGGTACTCTGGACCCCCAGTCCTATGCATCTCCCTGGAAGGCAGCGCTTCAGCCAATCTCCGAACTCCTTGGTGATGCCGGGAGGAAAACAGAAGAACTGTAATAATATTCATCATTAATATTGATGTCCAGCCCCATGATTAATTTTTTTGGTCCAGCCACCTGGCTTCCTCAGGTGAATCCCATGCCCCCAGCTGGGTTCCAGGCCCACCGCTTAGCTGAGTTGCTCCCACACAGGACATGCTGGGCCTGGTTGAATGAACAGGTCAACCCTGGTCATGCTGAGCCAGAGGGCGGAGGACCGAGCATTGCGTTTAGAATGGAGTATCCTGGGTTATAGTTCTGGCTCTGCCATTCACTGGCTGCATGACCTTGAGAAGATCACATTTCCTCTCTGGCCTTCATTTCCCCCATCTGTACAATATAAGGACTGAGCTCTATGATCGCTAAGGGCCTCTGTGGCCCTTAGAACCTTACATCAATGGTGGATTCAGGCCGGGTAGCTGGAAGACAAGGGGCGGGGACAGCCCTGGTTAGTGCTCTGAGAGACAACAGCTAGGGTCTTATGGTTGGTGCCTGGGTTCTGGCTGGTCAGTCCACTGGATACAATGAAGGAGGGTCCTCAGACAATGAGCCCCAGATGGCAGCCTCTGTGTGTATCAGTGACACACAAGGACAGATGGAGCCCATCACCAGGGGACGCATGGCTGGACAGGAGGGAGAAGATGGGGGCTACTGTTTGCCCCTCTCCCCCTTGTAAACCCCAGCCTGATGTGGGCAAGGACCAGGCAGGCAGTGGGCCTGCTGGCAGGCAGACAAGCCTTGCCAAACTCCCAATCACTTCCCAGACCTCCCAGGGTCCCCTGGGAGTGGCTCCACCCCAGCGGGCACCCCTCCAAGTGGAGCCCACGTCAGCAGGTCCTCACAGCTCCCTGGCCCTTTCACCCAGGGACAGTGGACCAGGCAAAGGGGCAGAGGCATGCTGACCCGGGGCCCGATGCTTGGAGAAGCGTGTGATTCCCTGGGCATCACGCTTCTGGGCTGTTTCTGCCATGTCCGGCTCGGGCACTGCCTGAGAATGAGGCACCGAGTGGAGCACTCCCCTCTCAGGGCCCCAGCTTCCCATCCTAGTCACCCTTCCTGGGTGGTGCATTGGCTCCGAGCCACTGGAATGAGTGATGAGTCAGAAAGTCCTAGTGGCCAACTCACAAGCCCTCTCCAGCCTTAATTTCTCCATCAATGGAGATAGTCATGATAATGACCTTAGGAAGTTTTTGAGAATTAAAGTTTAAAATGTACCTGAAAAATAAGACCTTCAGCCTCAGCCTGTGGTGGGAAGTGGGGGGAGGCCCCGAGGGCCGCTGACCCCAAAGGTAAGGCTGGGGCCACCCTGGACAGGACCGTGGCTGTAGTGAGGCCTGAGGCTCCAGCCTGGTAAGAGCCTTTGGTTGAGCCTGGATGTGCCGCCTGCTTTGAAAATCACTCCATTCAACAGGAGGTGGGCAGGGAAAGGCGCTGTCATCTGCGCTGGGAGACAGGGAGAGCATGAGGGTCTCAGGATGGGTCAGGGAGAGGCCGGGAGGAGGGCGGTGTGAGAAATGCATAAGGGGAGGTGGCTGTCACGTCTGCTGGGACGTGGGCTGTATTCAGATGGGGGAGGGCCCCGCCTGAAGCTGGGGGGCTTTGTGGGCCACCCACCATGGGCAATGAGGCTGCCAGGCGGGCGGGCGCTGAGTCTTCCTAAAGGCTGGTGGGCCAGGGAAAAACACGGCCTATGAACAAACACAGGCTGAGGTGTTGGTGCTGGCCAGAGCGGTCCTTCTCCCTGATGGGAGGAGATGGCGGCCGGACTCCACAGAGACTGCCCCCACCTCCAGCACTCCCCCTGAGAGCCCCATCGCTGCTGCTTCTGTGGCAAACTCCACAGGTTCCAAGTGCTTTCACAGCCAGTCTCTCCCTTTCCCCTGAAGGCAGCTCTGCCAGGCGGCCAGGGCAGGGATTAGCAGCTGTAGCTCAAACCCCAGAGTGCAGGAAGGTAAGAGAGGTCCAGAGAAGGGGTGGATTTGCCCACTGTCACACAGCCACCAGGTGGTCATGCTAGGGCTGGGCCCACACTACCCAACCCCGATCCAGCCCATCCACAGTGCCATGCCCTCCCCCACACCCTGTGTGGTACTGGCCTGCTGGACAGGGAAGGACGGGGTGAGAAGCCACGCTGGCGCGAGGCCTGCCCAGCTGTCGAGGTGAGTTGTGATCTGGCTGCCATGGCCAAGCTGGCGGGCACAATCTGTTCTCACTCTGCCGCGACCTGGACAGGCCAGGCATGGTGGCGCACCAGCTCAGCTGTCCAGGCCCCTGGCAACGGGTGACACAGTCCCCAGCTAGATGCCGGGGTCAGGGAGGCAGGGGACCCCACTCTAAGGGTAGCCCACAGCCTCACGTGCCCCAAGCAGCTGTCCCCAGACCTCCCTGAGCTTGAAGACTCAAATGGCCTTGAGCTGGCAGATGCCTACTTTATTGGACCTGAGCTGACCCCTAGCCCAGGTGGAAGGTGAGGGCAGCCTGACACTTCATTCATTACTCATCATAGTGAGCTCTTCTTGAGCACTTGATACATACTAGGCTCTAGGCCAGCCGTGGGCAAACTACGGCCCTCGGGCCGGATCCGGCCCGTTTGAAATGAATAAAACTAAAAAAAAAAAAAAAAAAGACCGTACCCTTTTATGTAATGATGTTTACTTTGAATTTATATTAGTTCACACAAACACTCCATCCATGCTTTTGTTCCGGCCCTCCGGTCCAGTTTAAGAACCCATTGTGGCCCTCGAGTCAAAAAGTTTGCCCACCCCTGCTCTAGGCTAAGGGCATTAAACACATTTTCTCACTTATTTCACCCCCAAAAGCCCCGTGTATTAGCCCCATTTTACAGATAGGGAAACTAAGGCTCAGAGAGGTTTAAAATCACACACACAGTCCATGGAAGAATAAAGATTTGAATTCAGATCATACACCAAAGCACGCAGTATCCTGCCCTGCCTCGTCGAAGGTGCTGTGGGCATATCCCCTGGGCATGAACTAGAGAGGAACATGACAAGTCCTGCAGTGCCTACCCTACACCCTAAGCTAGCATTTACCTGTATCTGTGTAGTTGGTGACCCTGGGGGACGGGTCAGGGGGTGCTGGTAACATTGGCCCTGGCGTTCTGAGCTGAACCTTTTGTGCCACTCAAAGCAGAGGTCACCTTCAGCTGAGAAGAATCCAGAACAACTGCATGGAAGAAGCAACATTTGGTTAAGTGTCGATAAGGCTTTGAAAGGAGGAAAAATTGGAAAGCCTGCCAGCATTGTTTTTATTATAATAATTTCATTAATAAAGTAATGTATATCTTAGCCCAGCGAAGGAAGCAGAGCCAGGACCAGTAGATTTCATTTGACTAATGAGGGAACATGTTCAGACAGTGGGAGTCATTTGCCCACGGTCACCCAGCCACTAGTAACAGGGCCAGAGCTGGGGCCTAGGTATTCAGGATCCACCCAGGATCCTGTCCCCCGAGGGCTCCAGGCAGAACTCCATTTGATGGTTGGCTCAGAGGGAAGCTTCCTTCACTGCTGGCCTCTCCAAGGTGGGGCAGGTGTAGGCAGGGCAGAGGGGGGGGAGGGGAGGGGACAGGGGGCAGGAGGCAGGAGGCAGGTGTCTGGCATCCACAGCCCCATAGAGCTTGCTTTCTCTCCTCTTCCACTGTTTCTCTCCTCCCTCTCCCCCCGCCCCGCCTCCCCCCAGGCTATGGCCACGCAGCGCCCAGCACGGATGGCGGCAAGGTGTTCTGCATGTTCTACGCGCTGCTGGGCATCCCGCTCACGCTGGTCATGTTCCAGAGCCTGGGCGAGCGCATCAACACCTTCGTGAAGTTCCTGCTGCACCGCGCCAAGCGGGGCCTGGGCATGCGGCGCGCCGACGTGTCCATGGCCAACATGGTGCTCATCGGCTTCTTCTCGTGCATCAGCACGCTGTGCATCGGCGCGGCCGCCTTCTCCTACTACGAGCACTGGACCTTCTTCCAGGCCTACTACTACTGCTTCATCACGCTCACCACCATCGGCTTCGGCGACTACGTGGCGCTGCAGAAGGACCAGGCGCTGCAGACGCAGCCGCAGTACGTGGCCTTCAGCTTCGTCTACATCCTCACGGGCCTCACGGTCATCGGCGCCTTCCTCAACCTCGTGGTGCTGCGCTTCATGACCATGAACGCCGAGGACGAGAAGCGCGACGCCGAGCACCGCGCGCTGCTCACGCGCAACGGGCAGGCGGGCGGAAGCCTGGGCGGCGTGGGCGGCGGCGCGGGCGGCGGCGGGGGCGCGGGCGGCAGCGTGCACACCACGGACACCGCCTCCTCCACGGCGGCGGGGGCGGCGGGCGGCGGCGGCTTCCGCAACGTGTACGCCGAGGTGCTGCACTTCCAGTCCATGTGCTCCTGCCTCTGGTACAAGAGCCGCGAGAAGCTGCAGTACTCCATCCCCATGATCATCCCGCGGGACCTCTCCACGTCCGACACGTGCGTGGAGCAGAGCCACTCCTCGCCGGGAGGGGGCGGCCGCTACAGCGACACGCCCTCGCACCGCTGCCTTTGCAGCGGGGCCCAGCGCTCGGCCATCAGCTCCGTGTCCACCGGCCTGCACAGCCTGTCCACCTTCCGGGGCCTCATGAAGCGCAGGAGCTCCGTGTGAACGCCCCGCCCCGCCCGCGCCCGCGGGGCCTGGAGCAGCTGGGCGGGTGGGCCGGGTGGTGGGGCTCCTGCCCCGAGGAGCAGCGGGGGTGGGCGAGGGGGCCGCCCCCAGCCGCCCTCAGCCCCTGGGGGACGTCCCACCCCTCTCCACCCTCCCCAGCACCCCCATCTCCGACTGTGCCTGCTCGCACCAGCCAGCAGGAGCTGGGGCTCTGAGGACCCTGGAGCCCCTATCTGCGCCCTGCAAATTCCGAGAAATGTGAAACTTGGGGGGCGAGGGGGTGGAGGGTAGCAGGGAGGGAAGGCAGAAGCTGGGAGCCTCCCGTCCATTTGGAAATCTAAGGAGCCCCCCAGTTCTCAGAGGCCCTGCTGGTACCCAGACTGCCCCCCGCTCCCCCAATCCGGAGGGGACTTCGTGTTCCGTGTACGTTTGCATCTCTATTTATACCTCTGTCCTGCCAGGTCTCCCACCTTCCCTGGGCTCCAAAAGCCAGGGCGTCTTTGTCGAGGTCACCCCCATGCAGTCTGCTCCCCTTCCTCATCCCCAGTTATGTCTCCGAACCTCCCACGACCTTCTGTGTTGTTTTGCATGGCTTTGCAGTTATGGAGAAAGTGGAAACCCAGCAGTCCCTAAGGCTAGACCCCAGAGGGCAGGTGGACAGAAGCCAGGCCAGGCCCCCTACAGGGGCCGGCAGAGAAGTGCGGGGCAGAGAAGGGAGGGGAGAGCCCATGGCCAGGGTGGTCCCACTGGCAGGTGAGAACCAAGTGGCCTTCAGTCACATGCCCAGAGGGGCAGAGGGAATGCAGCCTTCTGACCAACACTCCCCTTGATGGACCAGAAAACGTCCTGCTGGCCATCCGGCCACTGCTCACCATGACCAACTCTGGCATCTGTGGAATGAGTTGTCGCCTTGGAAAACCACATCCTGACTCCTCACCGTCTGAGTCTCCCAGCACTCCAGCTAGGTCACCAGGGCAGGGATGCTCATCCACATTTTACCGATGGCAGTGAGGCCCAAACAGGGGGTGTGACTTGTCCAAGGTGACACGTACAGCAAAAGGCACAGGGGGACCAGAACCCAGGCCACTTATTCCCAGGAGGAGTGCTCTTTCCTTCCCATGCCTCTGCCCTCTCCTGAACGCAAAGCTCCTGCCCTGTGCCCTGGCACTGTGTGGGCAACGGGGCCTAAAACAGGCCCAGACTTCAGGTCTGAGCCAGTGCTGGGGCTAGAGAGCTGGCAGGCATATCCTGCTGACTTCATCCCTGACCCCACAGCCGGTGTTGGTGCCTGTGTCCCGCGTGGCTAGAGATAAGCTAAGGCTGCAGCAAGGCACGCCCCTCCCAGGTGGGGCGCGTGGAGTTGGTGTGCCAACGGCCTATGTCACCTGCCACCCAGAAACCCAAAGGGAAAGCAGAGACGGAGGTGGGAACCAGGCTCCCTGCGGGGACCCACAACTGGAGCTGGCGCCTGACTCAAGACAGCATCAAAGGGTGGGTGAGAGGCTTCTCCTCCCTCCATGCTGCCCTCGCATGCTGTTCCCATGTCCCAGCTCTTGGACACGCTCAGCAAGGCCCACGCTGGCCTTCAGAAAAGCTGGAGTGGGGACCTCGGGGTGATCAGCCTCTGGGAACCCCTGGGAGGGAAGAAGTCTGGCCTGGCCTGTGTGTGAGTCCTGTCTCAGCGGGAGGAGCTGGCCGCCCACATGCCAAGGAGAGCAGGGCACAGGAGCCGGGGTGCCCTCTGTGTTTATGTTGAGGTGGGGAGCGGTGCCGGCTGCCTCTGTCTTGTGTGTGACCCTGCCCTCGAGGGGTCCTGTCCCGTCAGTCCTGAGGGAGCCACAACCAAAGTTGCAGGGAGATGGTGGGGAAGGAGGCTGAATGGCCCTGGGCGGACTGCTCGGTCTCCAGGCTCCCAGTCTCTGCTGGGTCCTTCCCGGGGAACTGGACGGCCAGCGTTGCTTCCCTCCCCCCTCCCACTGCGGGCAGCCTTTCTGCTTCCCCAATGCCTTATGCCTGGGCACACTGCCACAGAATATGCAATATGTGTGGGTGACATGCCCCACGCCCACACCCCCACCCCGGGCAGCCCCCAGACCCCAAAGGCTGCGGCTGCCACGGCCTCCCGTTAGACCCTGCTGCCTATCTGTCTTCACACTGAGAATGGCGTCTAATAAATACTGCCCATGGAGACCAGGTTCAGGCTCGGCTGCCTCTGTCATCATATACCCTGAGAGCGGCCAGGGCTGGGCCATCTGCTGACCCGCACACACACCTCTGCGCACACTCTGGCCCCGCCAAGGTCTACAGACACACTCGCTGATGCACCTCGGGCTGACTAGACCCTTTGCGTCCACGGGCCTTAGGGAGAAGGCTGGGGACACTACTGGCTTCCCTTTTATGATTTCCTCCCAAGTCCAGGTTTTCTGTTTCACCAGCAACAGCTATAAGATGAGACCTTAGAAAAGAAATCACCTGCTTCAATTCTCCCCCTTGAACATGAGTAAACTGAGGCCCAGAGAGGGCAAGTCACTCTCCCTGAGTCACACAGCAATGAGTGGGGGGCCCAGGATTGGAACCAGAACCGGGGATTCCAAGTCCAGCGCTCCGCCTTCTCAGGAGCCTTCGGAGTCTGATGGACACACACACACACTGCAGCTGACAATGGCAGCCTCCGTCAGCCAGGAATGGGGGTGCCCTTCTTCCAGCAGGGCCTTCCAGGCCCAGTGGCCTGATGCACACAAAAAATGTCTCTCTCATAGGAAGACGCGTCGCAAGCACCTTTCTTCAGGGTACATTTTTCTCTGGAGGGACAACGTGGCCTGGGACTGAACCCCAGAGCCCAGGACAGATGCAGCTGGTGCCAGCCCCTGGAATCAGCTGGCCAGTGGCTTTGAGATGTCGCTGAGTGCAACCCAGAGTAATGCCTTTTCTACTGCAACCCCGAACCTATCTGCATGCCTGTCCATCTATCTCTCTTTCATGAAGTAATACTTCATCCCTACTACAGCCTTTCCATTCTAGTTCATGCGATGAAATGCTGGTCACTACCTACTAAATGTATCTCTCTCCCCACTAGGCTCCCTGCAGATTGAAATACAGGGAGTGGGGTAGGGGCACTTTCTCCAGTCTCCACCCCTACCCATATAAATCAACTGAGAGATAGAAAGAGAGGCCTATTTATTGGGGGTTCAGGGATCTACGGAAGCAGTGGTGGCACCTGCACCTTCCACTAGCACACACCCCCTCCAGGAGGCAGGCAATGTGACAGTGGTCCCGGCTGCTCCGTGCAGCTGCCGGCAGGCTCCTGGGACGTGCTTCTCATTGACCTGTGGCCCTCAGGGTGCCTAAAGCTCCCGGTGGCTCACCCGCACCTAAGAGCACCCCATCAAACGCCAGGGCTCCCTGGACCAATTGCCTGTCTTTCTCAGCGCAATGGCGGCAGAGATGTCATTTTTGAGGTCAGCTGTGGCCAGTACAAGGTTGCTTTTACTCTCTTTAGCAGTTCTTGCGGGACACAAACATGCTGACACTTGCCCTCCTGTCTTCTTTTCTTTTTTGTTAATCCTCACCTGAGGATATTTTTTCGTTGATTTTTAGAGATGGCACAAGGGAGAGGGAGAGACAGAGAGAGAGAAACATCGATGTGAGAGAGACACATCGAGTGGTTGCCTCTGCACATGCTTCCCGACCAGAGCCGAGGATCAAGCCTGCAACCAATGTATGTGCCCTTGACCGGATCAAACCCTGGACCCTTCAGTCCAGGGTTGACCCTGTACCCACTGAGCCAAACCGACTAAGGCTGCCCTCCTTTCTTCGTCACCCAGGACAAAATAATCAGAGCTCGAAGGGGTCCCCAAAGGGCTGCATTCATCTCGGTCTTCCAGGGGGTGATCAGAATTGTGGCAGCGGTGAACTGCATGCCAGCCCCTGCCTAGCCCCTGAGGACTCGGAATTGCCCGTGGTCCTAGCGTGGGCTCTGTATCGCCAGGTGATGCCATCCCACCCTCCTCGCTTACACATAGTATCTGAGGCATTCTGCACTACAAAATGCATGCACAGCAATGCAAAACTAGAAACCAGCACCGCAGAAGGTGGGGGGCGCGGGGGGACATGAATATACCAAGATCCCGGCTGCTGTGGTGACTGTGTGAGCATCAGATGGAGACAGAAGCGTCCTGGAGCCAGGAGAGAAAGAGACCTACAACAGCAGCTCTTCCCCAGACGTGTCCCATGGTGTGCCTGTGGGAAAGGGTTCCTCGGTCAAAAGAAGCTAGGGAAACACTGTACCTGCCACTCATGCATGTAGCTTCACAAGGCATCTTCGCTTATAAAGGCTCTGAGAAACCCTGCAGCAAACACAGCTGCTCCCTCTGCTTCCCCCAGCCGCACCCACACTCATGCCCAGCGCCAGACCCTCTGCTTGTGTGGCTTCTCGTGTCCACAGAGCACGTCTTGGGAAATGCTGACCTACCAAAATCTCATTGTCTGATGAAGAGAGAAGGCTGATCCTCCCCCTCGATAAATTCTAAAAAAAAGTTCAGTGTAGAAGCCCTTCTATAACTGAAGGCCATGACATTACCAAATACATATTTTATTCTCAATTACGTGTCAGCTCGAACCAAGGCTCAGAGCCAGGATCGGACCGTGGGCTGGTGGCGGAGCTGGGATGTGAGCCCATCCCAGTGGCCGTGAAGCATTTGCTCGCACCCACCGCACTGTCCTGTCCCCAGGCCGGCCCATGTCATCAGCACAGGTTTGGCAGAAGTCACAGAGCTAGCTGCTTAGGACATGTCATTCCTTATTCAGGGCATTGGTGAATGGGGAGGCTGTAACCTGTCACCCTTCAAAAATGGCAGATTCTGATGCAGCTAAGAATCCCTGTTCCACCGAGATCCTCCCACTCCCATGCATGGGGCCATCTAGCCTCTTTCTACAGGCTCAGCATTGCCTCAAGCCCAACAGCATCCCACAGCTCATCTTAGGAAGCCGGGGACCGGGACCAGGAAGGGACTTCTTGCGTGAGGAAAGAGCACTACCCACGTGGACCGTGCTGGCCTCCCCAACCCAGGGCACACGTCACCGCCTCCTCTGAGAAGCTGACGCCCCTTCTCTCTCCCAAAGCCGTTCAGACTCCATTTTCCAAGAGGCCCCTGAACAACCCAGTCTATAGGGGGCACGGTGCCCTCCCCTTGCCCGGCTGGCAGTGATGCTAGGACGACAGCCTGAGGCACTGCCATCACCTTTGGCAAAGCCCGCAAAGAAACACATGCACACCCTCCTCTAGGCCATTGGCCCAGCTCCTGTTTTTCAAGGGAAGGGATTGTTGTTTACAGAGAGGAAGTGAGATGCTCAAGGTCATGAAGCAAGATAATGGTGCAGCCGGGATTAGTATCCAGATAGCCTAACTTTCCCTACACACACACACACACGCACACACGCACACACACACATACACACACACACACGCACGCAGCGGGGCCCAGCCTTCTCTGACTCTGATTTCAGATGAAAGCTGCTAATCTCTGGAGTTGAGTCATTCTCAGGCTGGAAATTTCCCACATCGAGGTCGGGACAAACATGGGGAGACTCACATCTCTGCCCCTCAGCCTCCCAGCTGCAGGGGAGGGCCTTGTGAGCGGTGCCACTGCTCAGGCAGGGGCTGTGGTGGAACTGACCCCCAGGACCTTTCTGGTCCGGAACTCCCCAAGAGTCCACACTAATGGCATTTGCCATTCACAAAGCTCTCCCACCTGGGTCTCTCCTGTCATCATGGGACAACCTGAGGATGTAGGTGAGGATTAACACCCCCATTTTCAGCACTAAAGCTCGGGAAACCCAGGTCCTGAGAGCAGGGACTGTCCCACAGTCACCTCTGTTTCTGAGCGCTGACCAGGCCACCGGGCACTTCCTTGGGAGCCCAGCCCAGTAACTCTTGGCCAGCGAGTGCCCCACGCAGCTTGCCAAGCTGGATCCCATGGGTTGGAGAGCCCCCAGGTGGACACGGCTCACAGAACCCATGAGCAAAAGGAGACAAGGAGCTATGAATGCTGTACCCACTTCACCACGTGCCCCTGTTCAACACTGCTGGACCCCCGGGCTTTGGACCAAGGGCAGCAGTGTCCAGCCAGCAATCTCTGCCCTTCAGCAGGAGGGGCTGAAGGTTCCCAGGGAAAAGGTCAGGCCTCTGACCCACGCCACCTCCCAGGATCAATACTCTTCCGCAGGTCTTGTTCCCTGAAGAGGGAGCATGTGACCAGGTCATCCCTGACTACGAAATACTCTGGTCCGACTACAAGATCGGAGTGGATTCCTGGGCCTGTGCTGGCCCCAGCACTGGGATTTGAGAGGCACTTTCTAATTGGCACAGGTCCAACCTGGGAAGCCAGGGGTGCTGCTGTATTGTGCCCTGCTCTCACCATTGTAGTTAGAACTCCCAATCTGCCCTCGTTCCAGACCAGAAAAAGCTCTAAGGAAACGTTTGGCTGCCTTGGGGGTACTGTACCAGTAATGCCAGCTTCTCTCCTAAGGTAAAGGGAACGCCAGAGACTTAAAGCTAAGGCTGTCATTGGGCATCTGCTGTGCACCTTAGACTTAATAAACCTCACAACCACACTACAGGACAGGTGCCGTTACCCTCGTGTTGGTAGATGAGAAAGGTGAGACTCAGAGAGGTTAAATGACTCGCCCAAGGTCACACAGCTATTGAGTGGCAAGGCCCCAGCCAGGACCCTCTGAGAAATCCTGTTCCACCCAGACCCTCCCACTCCCATAGGTAGGACCATCTCGCTCTTTCTACAGGCTCCGCATTGCCCCCAAGCCCAACAGCATCCCACGACTCATCTGAGGAAGCCAGGGGCTGTGAGAGCTGCTAGAGCTCAGGCACTTTCCGCTGTATATCCATGCCTGGAGTGCATCTAGCTCAGCCTGTGCCCCCGCCCCCCCTCCAAAAAAAAAAGCAAGAATGGGCTCAGCAGCTTCCCTAAAAGGTCAGACAGTCTTGATTTACAGGAGCCTCGCTCTCTGATGCAGCCCCTTCATTCATTGAGCAGCAGCTCTAATAACCATGAGTGTCTTCCTTCTCTTGAGACAAGAACTGCTTTCCTGCTCTGGCTGTGCCCTCTGGGGCCACATGCAGTAATTCCCTCTATTGTGGATTCAAGATGTCTCCCCTCTGGACAGGTGCCTCCC